TTTTTTATTTAACAAATAATCTGATTAACAAGAACAGTAGCAACAACAGTAAAAAAAATAAAATAATTAAAATAACCTTCTTTTTCTTTTAAATTATAATTATGTAATGTATTATTTAAGCTTAATACTTAAGAATAATAATGTCTTGTTTCGTTGAATAGCTTCTTTTTCCAATGTGCTTACTTAACCTCTTTTTTAATTTCAATCGCGTCTCTGTCTCTTGGCAACCCCCCTGACCTTAGGTCCCTGGCTGGGATCAGGAAAGATATGGGTATACACCAGAAATCAATGAAATAAAATAATAATAATAATAATAATAATAATAATAATAATAATAATAACAAAGAAGTCTTCAGGAAAATCGGAAAAGAAATATTTATACTCAAAATTAGATACAGTTGAAATTGGACACTAATAAGGAAAAGGTGCTTGGATAATTTCGTAATAATACAGCGTATCGAATGCAAAAGAAAAAGGGAGAGACAGCGAGCAACCTACCTGAAGAATGGATGATGGGACGGTTTGGAAAAATGGAGGAGGGGAAAACGTTGCTAAGAGCTAGAAGGGATAGGAGGTTGTGGAGATCCATGATCGCCCACGTCTGAAAGGAGTACGGTACATAAAAGAAGGAAGGCGTGTCTCTCATGGCTTCTGGTCTTGATGTGTTGAACATGTAATCATATCCATGTTTTGCCCCGGTGAATTAATGTTGGCCGCAGTAAACATCTCCATTCACCACTGCAGATTTTCTTGTCAGTTGCTGAACCTTAACTAGCTGGACAGACGCTCCAGGGGCTGACACGCCGCGCATTTGTTAATGAGCGAGAGTAGGGTGGGAGCACAATAGCTGAAGGTTTTATCAAAATATGTAACTATATTACGCACATTTGGCTGAGGTGCATGTGCCTTGTATACTCATATTAGTCTAGCTGTTATAATATTGTACTTTGTACATCAGTGCTATTCGATTGCGGGACTGCAAGCTCACTCAACAACAACACCACCAATAATAATAATAATAATAATAATAACTGCAAATTTTATGATGAATCTTAATTTATTGATTGAATAAGATCCTTGCAAGTTTCATGACTATAAAATCGTGGAAGTTCCTCTATTACGTCGCTTAATATTTGAGGTTAATATCTTTAACAAACTATCAATGTAACAATCAAAAATATGAATGCAGATCATTATTTAAAGAAGTAAGAGTGTACAAATGAAAAGATTAAAAACTGTTTTTTTCCAAAAAGATGTAAAACAGGTTTTCTATTGGACTAGACGGTCAACACATGTGAGTATTATCGCCTCCTCAATCTTTCTTTTTTCTTCATTTTTGGTTAATTTTTCTGTTCCTTTCTCTAAAATCAAACAACCTCTTTGATATATTTTTATTACGTCTATCTTATCAATAAAACAGGAATGTCCCTTTAATTATCTTACCTTTGTCTACCATTGCTCAAACATTATCTTAGCTGTGTCTCACATCGCTCGAATCTCATCTTTATCGCCCAACACTTGAATCTTAGCTTTGTCACCCATCGCTCAAGACAGCTTTTTCTATCGTCGCTGATTGGCTGACATCGCTCGAAACTTATCTTAGCTCGTCTCTCATTGCTCGAATCCAATTTTATTTTTTCCCTATAAACTCGAAACTTATCTTAGTATGCCTCCCATTGTTCGAATCTTAACGCTACCTCCCATTTTTCGAATCATATCTTAGCTTTAACTTCCATCGCTAGAATGTTACCTTTGTCTACCATGGCTCTACTCTTATTCTTAGCTTTGTCCCTGATCGCACCAGTCTTATCTTAGTTTTTTCATTCATCGCTCTAATCCTATTTTTGCTTTATCCCCCATCGCTTTAATCTTTGCTTTGTCTTCGATTGCTTGAATCTTAGCTTTGTCCTCCATCGCTTGAATCTTATCTTAGCTTTTGTCCCTCATCCCTTGAATCTTAGCTTTGTCCTCCATCGCTTGAATCTTAGCTTTGTCCCTCATCCCTTGAATCTTAGCTTTGTCCTCCATCGCTTGAATCTTAGCTTTTGTCCCTCATCCCTTGAATCTTAGCTTTGTCCTCCATCGCTTGAATCTTATCTTAGCTTTTGTCCCTCATTCCTTTGAATCTTAGCTTTGTCCTCCATCGCTTGAATCTTATCTTAGCTTTGTCCCTCATCCCTTGAATCTTAGCTTTGTCCTCCATCGCTTGAATCTTAGCTTTGTCCCTCATCACTTGAATCTTAGCTTTGTCCTCCATCGCTTGAATCTTAGCATTGTCCCTCATCCCTTGAATCTTAGCTTTGTCCTCCATCGCTTGAATCTTATCTTAGCTTTGTCCCTCATCCCTGGAATCTTAGCTTTGTCCTCCATCGCTTGAATCTTAGCTTTGTTCCTCATCCCTTGAATCTTAGCTTTGTCCTCCATCGCTTACATCTTAGCTTTGTCCCTCATCCTTGAATCTTAGCTTTGTCCTCCATCGCTTGAATTTTAGCTTTGTCCTTCATCCCTTGAATCCTAGCTTTGTTCGCCATCGCTTGAATCTTATCTTAGCTTTGTCCCTCATCCCTTGAATCTTAGCTTTGTCCTCCATCGCTTGAATCTTAGCTTTGTCCCTCATCCCTTGAAACTTAGCTTTGTCCTCCATCGCTTGAATCTTAGCTTTGTCCCTAATCCCTTGAATCTTAGCTTTGTCCTCCATCGCTTGAATCTTATCTTAGCTTTGTCCCTCATCCCTTGAATCTTAGCTTTGTCCTCCATCGCTTGAATCTTAGCTTTTTCCCTCATTCCTTGAATCTTAGCTTTGTCCTCCATCGCTTGAATCTTAGCTTTGTCTCTCATCCCTTGAATCTTAGCTTTGTCCTCCATCGCTTGAATCTTATCTTAGCTTTTGTCCCTCATCCCTTGAATCTTAGCTTAGTCCTCCATCGCTTGAATCTTATCTTAGCTTTGTCCCTCATCCCTTAAATCTTAGCTTTGTCCTCCATCGCTTGAATTTTATTTTAGCTTTGTCCTCTATTGCTTGTATCTTAACTTTGTCCTCCATCGTTTGACTCTTATCTTAGATTCGTCTCCTATCTGTCGAATCTTATCTTAACTCTATTTCCCATCGCACGTATCTTTCGAGATTTTTTTTTTCTGGTCGCAATGTAAGCAGTATGAATCATAAATAAAAATTTTCATCTAAAATAGCATCTGATATCCTTGCTTAACATCGTCAGCGCCTTTATCGGTGTAGCCACAAGGGAGGATCGGCGGAGATTGTAAAAACTCCGACCTAATCGCTTGTGATTACTTTCACACAATGCCCTTGAGATAGAAATGAATCCTTTTCTACTCACTATCCCCACTGGTCATGGCTTAAAAGAAGGGTGAGCTGAGATTGAGTGGCCAAAGGAAGGATAACTCTGTATACAAAAGCGTAGGAAATGGCCGATAACCTAATCTACTCTGCTTCCTTGAACACATCACAACACCCACATTATAATTAAAAAAGGTATCTGTGGGCAGCAGCCATAATCGTCTACGTACTGAAAGCGCATAGCATTTAATAACAAGAAAATGCAGTAGGAAATGTAATAGACTTTATGTTTCCTGAATTTCCGATATAATCGAAACAGAAATCCAAAGGAGAAATCTGCAATTTTATCGATCTTGATCTGATACCTCGGTTTTCGTCATTTTTACCTCCGTCGTAACATAGGTTTCATGTGCGTTTTCTTTAAATGTTTTCATGGTAATTATTTTGATGAGCGTTTCTCTTTGATATTTCACGAATTTAAGAGCTCTACTAGATTTGGCAGACAGGCTTATAATTTTCATAGAGGAATTGGTAGATGTAATCGTAAGTTCTATTCTAAGAGTTTTTCTCAAGTACTTCTTATCTGTGGATATCTCTTCTGCCTTCCTGTTTTGCTGTAATCTGCGGTCTTCAAAATTTGAAATGCAACGTCAACCTCCATCTTCTGTCTACTTGAAAGCTGGGCATTTATTGTCCTTCCATTCAGTAACTTTTTTCTCTGTTTCTTTTACTCTCAATAACCCTGTGCGTCTTCGTAGATTTGTCGCCCTACTTCGCGGAAAATTATTTATAAAACTTAATTTCCTCTACTTGACTAGTTGATAATACTTTCTGTATTGTTTTCTGTAATTTTGCTGTTGTCTGTTTAATGATCGCGATAACAATCATTAGGATTCTTCCTTTCCGATACTTAGTATTTATGCTATTATTTAGTTGTAATTAAAAGTATTAATTGATGAAAGTTGCATTTTAATGATTCTCTGCGATGTTCAAATCTTCTTCTCTGTAAAGCGTTGAGTAACGATTTAGCGTTGTGCACAAAGATTATCAAATGAAGATGTCATCATCGCCTTTGAGCGAGTAGAAAGTCCTTTTGCGAATGTATTCTGCTCAATATTTTCTTATGGTTTCTGAATAAATGTAAAATATGCAACATTTTTTTTCTTTTTTTTTCTTTTTGATTTATTGTTTTAACAAAATTTCGTAAAAGTAATGTCGTGATTATAGGACCAAAGCTTTGATGTCTACCCTCCGGAAAATCGTGAGTCATGCATCATCTCCTCATTTTATAAATAGAACAAGCGTACAAGAAATAATGATGTAAAAATTAGAGACGTTAATGAAATATGCAAATTTTAACAAAATTAAAAACGTTTTTAAAAAATCTTCGCTTTTCTTTTCTTTTTCTTTTTTTTTTCTTTTGTGGCCTTCTGAAACAGGAAAGAAAAATCATAGATAGGTTGATTAGAATTACATACATACATATACACATACATTCAAGGGAACATGCACATCTCTTAGAGATGTGCGATGGCGTAGCGGTTAACGATGCGGAAAGTGGAGTCGGCAAGCCGATTTCAAATTCGGGCGTAACCTGAAGTATTAACTAGATAAAAAAATGTTCTTTTGACACACATAATTACGTCCCGTCGCCCTCCAGCTTTGTATTAAATAGCAGTGTAGACAAGACTCTCCACAGTCTTACGGTCACAACACGTTAAATCATCGGTTCCCGTACGATCACCTAAGTGAAGCAACCTTAAGCCTAGTCAGTAACTAGATGGGTGACCGCTTTAAATACCAGGTGCTGTAAACATGAATTTGCGGGTGGTGTAAGTGATAACGGCTTGAAATTGTTAATCGGAGTTCCAGTTCCAGCTAGGTTCGATATATTCACTTACGCGCAAATACCCTTTGGAAAGTTACAAATCCACCGCTTCTCCCCCAGGAGGTTAAGAATTAATACTTGTATCTCTAAATTATTATTACCTAAAAAAACATCCTTACAATCTCAAATTGTTAAAGAAGGCAGTCTGAAGGGAGGTCGCGCGGAAGCCATAGGCCCGAGGATGTGATTTCATGTTGTTTTCGGTACATGAGAAAAGCCAACGGCGCTGGAAATGGCACTGTTTGTTTGTCCGAAAATTTCAATGTGACTTTCGGGTAATATTCCTTAAAGCCCTAGCTGTCACGGTCTTGGAGGTTTTTTCCTTTCCGAAGGATCCCTTAGGAATCGTCTAACCGTGTCCACATGACGGTCTAACTTCTCCGCAATGATATGAAGAGAGGTTCCTTTAAAATTCTCCTTGATGATGACAGACTTGTTTTTCATCGTTGAGGCCTTTTCCACGTCCTATTTTTCTTAAAGATAAGTGACGTTAATAACATGGTTCACCTAAAAACTGTCGAATCTGAAATAAAAAAAAGACGTTACACAGTATAATGAAAGCCTAACAAATGGTTTTACCATACTGCGCCAACAGTGTGTGTGTGTGTGCCTGCCTTTCTTTGTAGTAATAGTTATGGCTTCGTCTATGAGTTCAATCGATCTGTAGCGTACTATTTCTGATTTCGTGTACTGTCATATCGCCTTTGGAAAATACGATGAGAAAATGCATTAAAACTAGCAAATAATAATAATAATAAGAAGAAGAAGAAGAAGAAGAAAACTGAATAATGGGCACATTTAGAAATATGTAACGGTATATTTCTGACTGCTTCTGTTTGTCTCGTTTATTGAATAAAATCTTATGTTTCTTTCATGAATAATTTACCCAAATTTAATTAAAAATTCCATTTGAAGTGGAGAAATAACATTATGTCTTTGAAATTTTGAACAAAATTTGGCTAATAGAATTCTTTGAAGAATGGAAGCCACTTTTGCCGATGAATGAATTGTTTCGACATTCTTCAAGAAAATCAATCACATTATTTAGATTATGAGCGAGTTTAAGTATGCAAGTCAATAAGTCCACAATAGAACTGTTACAAATCCACTGATGTTGGGAAATCTTTGGTTATATATTGATATTTTATAAAAACTAAAATATCATGTAACATTTCATATTATATCTGTTTTATTAGATTAGATTTTCAGTATCATTTGATGTGTGAGATTCGGTGTGGATTGACAAACAAGAAAATAAACAAAGATGCTGATGCTGCGAGAAAAGATGCAGAATATTGGGAACAGAAGATACAAACAGAAAAATATCTAAAGTATCGAGTACAATGTCTATATTTCTGTATTATGTCCACTATTTACATTATTTGGACGATTATGTACTTATCAACCACGACCAAACATATATTTCAAATAATGCGAAACACAACATCGACCAAACAAATGTTTCAAATATTGAGAGACCCAACCTCGACCAAGCAAATGATTCAAATATTGGGAAACACAACCTCGACCAAAAAAATATTTCAAAGATTGCGAAACAACTTCGAGGAAACAAATAATTTGAATATTCGGAAACCCAACATCGACCGAACAAATGTTTCAAATATTGTGACACACAAACTCGGCCAAACAAATATTTCAAATAGTGAAAAAACCAACCTCGACCAAACAAATGTTTCAAATATTGGGAAATCAAACATCGACCAAACAAATATTTCAAATATTGGGATATTTGACATTCTCCAAATAATTATTTCTATTTTTTATAACTGATATCTTCCAAACATGTACTTTAAATATTTTGAAACTTGACATCGCCAATATATGTATTTCAATCATGACTTTTAAACGCTGAAACTCGCTCAATATATGTCATATATATATATATATATATATATATATATATATATATATATATATATATATATATACCCATATATTTTACCCAATTCGTTTGGTTTTATTACCAGTAACTACAGTGAAGACATTGATTTGCAAAATATAAGCAGTTAGTGTATGAATTGATGTTTATTTTTAGTAACACATCTGACTTACATAATGGACACTAATGATATTGAAAATTATATTTATTTTCTGTTCTCTGGTATGTGTGATTTTCAGGTTGACATATTCTGGAGGATTTGCCTTTAATACAAGCAATCTATATGCGTCATGTGCTAATCGTTTATTAATATTATCTTCTCACTGAATCAAAGCTGAAACATATTTGTTATAATATCATCTTACTATAGCCACATTTATGATTGAGATCCAATTATCTTGGTTAATAAACTCTCATTCCTAGCAAATTCAAGCTGATAAGATCTTTCTCATCCGATAACGTTGAATCATTATTTTGAAAGTGTGGAAAATATGTGAAATAAAAAAAAATTATGTATACCAAATCATGTACTAATTCTAACTGCAAATGCCTGTATTGCATCAGATTCTTCAAGTGAGTATCTGTAACATTTTAGGGTGGGGTTGCACCGTATTTCAGTTGCTGCATAAGGAAAAATTTCTAAATCTGGCACATTATTTCGTTGCAGATTTTTAATAGTTGCTCAAACTAGTATTCACCTCCTTGTTTCATGTAACATTTCATGTTAAACCATTCATTCTTCAGCCTTCATCAGGTATATAATTAATCCAAGAATTCCATATTATTCAGATTCCTTTCCATTCTGAATTTGTGGGGCGGGGAGCAGAGATTCTTGGAGGTCTCATCAATATTTCTTCTCTTGATAAAGATCACATAACTAATTAGGGTAGAAGGGGCAATACGTATACTGCAGCCGTAGTAACAGTGGTGCTTCCTGGGTAACATAGCTTGAAGAAGCGCCACCTCCCTAGGCTAGTTTTGAGTTTTTTCCTTTTAGACCGTATGCCAACCAAGACCATAGGACTTAGTCTGTCCTGTTATTTATCTATAGCATGGGGAAGATTTGTATGAGAGAATAAATTGATAACACAGAACTTACGCTTACATCTGGCCATTTCAAAAAATGATGATGAAGTTCGTATTCTTGGGCATCATATAGGAAAGCTTATCAAAGCAATTACCATGAAAATAATTATGGAAAATACGGGAAGCTCTGTTACGATAAGGAGAAAGTGACCAAAACCAGGATGCCAAGTCACGACCCATAACATTACATATTCTTCTTTGGATTTTTTATATTAAATTATAATTTTGGCGTGAATATCAGCTTTAATCATTGTCCAACAATAAAATCTTTATCCGAAGGCAGAGAGTTGAACCAATCAGCTGGTCTCCCGACTTCAGACTGAACGGTAATTAGTCACCCCCACGAGGGCATCATGTGGCACAAGGCCAGTTTAACATGGTATCTCGTAGCCCGTGGGCTCTGCCAAAAATATCCCCTTTGAACCCGTATAAACTGGTTCAGGGTCGATTTACCTCCCCGAAAGAGACTCCGCTCTTCGGCGTAGCCTCGTTCGGGTTCCTCCCCGCCTGAAGGCAGAGAGTTCAACCGATCAGCCGGTCTCCCGACTTCGGGCTGAACTCCCTGTTTCCTCTTGAGGCACAGTATTTATTACGTATGGAATAGTCCAAGGTCCCATAACACAAACTAGTTAACCATGTGTGGAATTTTAAAGAAACACAACAGGGATCCGATTGTAAACTGGAAAGTTTTAAAAAAGGCAAAACCGTGCAACAATGACAACCATTTCTGCAAACTCTGCTAACGAGAAAAATTCGCGATTTTGACATTTCCGGATCCAAAAAACATTTTAAACCAGAAATATTAAGTCCTTGCATACAGAAAGACGTATGGTTGCGATAAGGTAAATTAATTTGTGGTTCCTTCTTATCCTCAAAGATTCCAACGCCTTTTTCCTTACACAACATTTTCTCTTTCACTCTAAACTGAAGAAGAAGGCGAAACGCGCCGTTTATAGCTTTTCCACGTTCTCTCATTGTTTTCCCCTTCGTTTCAGATACTATTATACATCCTACAAAACACATAACACTATTACTAACATCGGCAAAAATTCTGTGGCGAATGTTGAAGTAATGAGGTTTTCACTGTATCCTCAATTACATGCAGGAAGTTTTTTTTAAGTCTGAAGATTCATTAAATAATAAAAAGAAATAATTAAGAATATATTATTGTTGAATTTGATGAAAATATTAAGGAGAGTTCATGTGATTTGATGGAACCTGTTCTTACTAGATCTTCAATGAGATCTAGATAAAATCTCGGATGCTACAAATATAATCAAATACTGAATGCAGTACTGTGAGATTTCTTTCTACAGTGATCTCCACAAGGCCCAAATGCTACTCGAGGGTACAAGATTACAGATTAAGAGGCTAATTTTATGGGATATGTGAGGAAGATAACGGGTGACACTAAACTTGAACAGGTTAAAATTGTAGTGATCGGGAAAGCATCCTCTTGGAAGTCGGTTCCACAAAACAGTGGTTTGTAGGTGCAAAAATATAAACGGCTGAGTGGTAACTCTGATGAATGTTTTTGTACAAATATATTTGGTTAGAATATAAAATGATATTTATATAACAGTAAAATAATCATAATATAAGTCAAAAGGTTTGCCCCAGACTCGACTATTATGACTATAATTTAGTCTATTATGACTATATTTATAATTATTAATTGAAATATCACAAATTGGCACTGGGAGAAAATACTAGAAAGCGATAAAATGTTAAAAATATCCAGTTATTTTTTCGAAAAATTCCAGAATGGATTGCCTATGTAATCATTGGACCAAAAAAATTCCTATAAACCGTTGCCGTATGATTCATTAAGCAAGTCAGGTGAGGAATATACGAGTAGGGTATTTGGCACATAAGATGGAATCAGCGAACTGAGTTCAAATTGTAGTCTAGTCTGTTGCATTCACTTTCACACTAATGT